CCCTGAACCCTAAACCCCAAATCACCGAAGCACCTAAGCCTCAAATCCTAAACCCCCTTAGTCTGTGCCCTGCAGGCAGCCCAAATCTGATCCTAACGACGCGGCAGAGTTCGGAGGAGTCTCGAATCGACTCAGTTGCCCACTCCTCTGGGCAGGTAAGAGAAGGGCGATGTTGCCACGATAAGATCAACAAATATCTTCTGCTGCGAAGATTCATGGCCTAGCCACGTCTCACACGGAAAATAATGCCCTAATCGTGACCCCTCGAATCCTAAACACCGAGTAGCATTCTCCAAATATTGACCCATAAGTACCATGATTCCCTGGAGTTCACAAACCCCAGAAAGTGTATTTCGAGAAGGCTCGAGCTGCGTGTGAGATAGTCAGACATGTTGAGATTTGGAAATCCCTACTATAGAGCCTAAACAATTACAACTGTTTTTTTTTTTTTTTTNNCCAAAACCCTATTCCAACTATAAAGGCTCCCATAGTGAGCCCGAAACCCGAAACCGCAGTCATGAACGGAGAGGAGCCGAAGTCACCACCAGAAGCGCGCTTGCCACGTGATGTGACGCCCGGGACTTGGGCGTGCAAGAGTGACAACGCCCGAAAAGTGTGGCTCCAGTATTCTGCTCTAAAACTATAGTATATATGATTACAGTATACAGTAGAACTATAGGAGAGTACAGGAGTCTGCTGAGTCTGCTTAGAGTCTTCGATGTGCGCTCTCTTAAAAGCCCAGGCTTGTTCGGAATCCCCAGGTCTTCAGAAGGACCGAGGCGGGCGTGGAGAGACAGACGGCGCGCATGGTGAGCCTAGTCAGATGCGCAATGGCAGGTGAAGACGGCGAATGCCCGCAAAGGACATGCAAACCCAACAGACTGACTGCTACAGATGGTGCTCTGATTGTCTCCTTGAATCTTGCATCCGCACAAGCCTTGCTAGGTGGGTTCGGAAACCCTCGGGTGAAGATGCGAAGATGCTAGCACCACACGGACACATTTGTGCCACCAAGTGCCATTACGAGATTGGCATGAGGCGTGATTCTTGGCTTTGCTGTTGCCGAACTGCCTCTCGGGTACCTGTTTTCGCAAAATGCCGCACGCCTGCCGCAGCGATCCGGGTTTGTGCTCGCCAAGCACGTGAACGGTGGATTCTCCGTAGTCGCACTTGATCACGCCGAAAAACTACATTGAGTGTTCTTTTCGCTGCCCTCATGCGCCCACAGGATCACCCACGCAGTGGAGGATGGCAAGCACGGGTCCTTGTGCAACAGGCTATCAGTGCAGTGCGAGCAGCACGTTCGAGACTGGACACTGCAAGCCAGCCTTGCGAGAATCAGCAAATTTCAGGCTCTAGCTAAAAGATAGCACTCCGGATTCGCCTCCTTGTCATTCGCGACGTCCTCAGTGCAGGATGTCGACACCTTCGTGCCATGCCCCACTGAAACATGCTTTCACCTATCGCACCGATCCCTACCGTTGATAGGGTCGACTGGTCGACTCTCATCAAGGAATCAAGGAGTCAAGCAAGAGACGGCAAGGGACACTCCGCGAATTGACCTGAGGTCATGTATCGGGCGCTGCACCTTGGTTTTGGCCTCTTGGGCGTTGCATCTTTGGAGGCCGGATAATCTTACAGTATAGGCCCGAGGTATGGGTCGCGCCCAAATAAAAGCTGCTTGAAGCTGCTTCACGTGCATCCTGCGTCCTGAGAAATGCCGTCCACAGACACTTTGGCTCTAGGCCTAATATATAGCCTAATATCGTAGTACATCCTGGACCTGAAAAACCTGCCCCATGCCTAAGCCAGGTGCATCCCGATCGGGCAGCCATGATTGCAGAAATCCAGCGCACGCCAGGCTGGGTGCAAGTGACGACCAGGGAAGTGCTTTCCATACGGCTCTAGTTTCTTTGCAAAAGGATGTCCAGCGCTTTTGGTGAGATCACCGACACATGTTGGATGCACCCTCCATCGAGTTGCTGTAGTGTAGACTAGTCGTAGCAGAACCCTGAAAAGCTAACCTCTCAAACTCTATCGCCTCCTTGCTGATCGCAAAAAATGATTGTCTTCGTATCAGATGGCCTCAGCTACCAAACCCCAAACACCGAAGCCCTCAACCCCTAAAGCCCTACAAATCCAAGACCCCTGAGCCTTAAACCCTTCGGCGGAAACCCTCGGTGCAGAGGAAAACCCTACACCCAAACCCTTGCCGTACCTGGTTTTAGCATTGCTTCAGAATCTTTTCCAATGCAGATGTCGCTGTGAGCATGGCTACTCAACAATGTGAGAGGGAAAAAAAACCCTGGCGCACAGGAGGAATCTAAACCCCATAAGCCCTAAACCCTAAACCCTAAACCCCGCCTGGCTTGTCCGAGTTGTGAGAGTGTAAACCCTAAACCCATAAGCCCTAAACACCCGTTTGGCGCGCAGGAGTTACCTGGACCCCTGGTGCCGTGGAGCGTTTTGCCACGGAGGCGCCTGGAGCCTCGAAGAGCCTTTGCGGCGTGAAAGGCCGGGAGCTGGGAAAAGGAAGGTCAGGGTATAGGTATATTATATTACATTATATTATATTATATTAGGGGTTTCGTTGCAGCAGCCTCGCAGTCCCTGCTGCCACGAGTGCAGCCTGGAATGAGTCGGCTGTCCTGGCGTGACGTTGCAAGCCAGTTGCAAAAGGGTCGTAGGGTTTAGCAAAGATGGGTAGAAAAAGGAAGCCCAGGGTATGCTTGTAGGATGTATAGGGCTTCAGGGTTTAAGGCTTTGTCTTTTGGTGGCTTTAGGGTTTGAGGGCTTTAGGGCTCGGGATTTGGGTTTTGTAAGGCCTCGGGGTTTGAGGGCTTTAGGTCTTTAGGGCGTGCGGCTTAGGGTTGCAAGGGCTTCGGCCGCAGGCAATCGGGGACCCCCATACACAGCACCTTAGGCCCTACACATAGACCAGGAATATTTGTGCTCATTGTACCGTGTGCTGAGGCCCAAGACCGATTTCTCACGAGATCTCATGAGTGGCGGCAGAAGCGAGCGCAGGCAACACGACGAAGTCCATCGAGTCGGCGGTGAAGCGGGGAGAAATCCACCGCTTCGTCGCAGAGATGGACGGAGATATCCCGGAGGAGCTGAGTTGGTCAATCTTGGATTAATGAAGGGTTTAGGCAAAAAGGGCCGCTGGGGTGTATAGGTTTGAGTGTTTGTCGGGTTTGGCAAATAGCGTTGAACTCAATCAGTCGGAGATTCTCGGGACATGGGTCAAGAGCAGCGCCCGGTGTGACTCGCAATACCTTTGAACAAGCACAGGATTTCGACTCGGCAGCGCAGTGGCCGGAGTGCGAGAAGATGATCAATGACTGGGGCTTAACACTCGCTTGTCCTGCTTCAAGTTAGCTCTGGCAGAATAATTGGACCAGATTGCATCCAAGGACATCCGCGACCAGTCGAACTGCGGCTGCCTTAGGTGCTGAAATCTATTGGCCTTAGACGCCCCGCAGCGGGTGTTCACAAGTGATGGCACAACACGTTATGTGGAGTTCGATGCAAACTTACCTACTTCCTAGACCCAAAATCCTAAACTCTGGCCCTAAACTCTGGCCCGAAACTGGCAATGAAACACCCGAGGCGGCTGCTGCTGGGCCTTCGCAGGGGCTGAAGCGGCCTCTGACCGTTCCTTGACATGGAGTGATATTTTATGTTTATATATATATATATATAGATATATATGTATATATATATATATAGATATAGGTATGTATATACATATATGTATGTATGTATATATATATATATATGTATCAGGTATAAGATATAAGAACTGTTGCTTTCGATATAATTTTGAACGCTTCGTGTCGTTTGCCTCGGCCCGGCTGTACTTGAGGCAGGAACATTGTCTCGGAAAGCACAAGGTAGGTCACATAGGTGTGGTCTTGAGTGAATGAGCGCATTTGCTTCGGAATGCTATTTTCATGTTGAGGCTCTGAGCAACAATCCCACGCAAAACATGGCACATTCCCTGCGTATCCCATAGACGTTACTACAATAACCATATGTTGGAAGGGGATTCAAGCTTTGCAACGGAGTACAAGACACAGCCCCAGAATTCCCAGGCTTTGGCATCAACTTCACGAGTGATGTAAGCTAGCCTGTCTTGCCTCGCCGCAAGCCAGAGACGAGGAAAGCGGAGGGAGGGAAGGGGAGAGAGGTGGGCGCTGGTGCGGGCTGAAAGTGGGTCATTGGGGAGGGATTAAGGGGTAGGGAAACAGGGGATTCCTGTACCGCTTCGACCGCGGCCGCTGCGAATATACACTGGCAACACAATTAATCTATACTGAAATACATGCTGCTCCAACTAGGCCCTAGGCTGCATTTCCGAAACCGAGAAGGCGTTCGAATTGCCATTTCGCTCAGACGGAGAGTCATGAGGAATGTGCATCGCAACGAAGGGCAAGACGATGATCCCCATCTCGGCCCAGGCTTGCCTTTCAAACGCAGCGTCAGGGGTTAATGGTTTCGGGTTGAGGGTTCAGGCCAGCAAGCCCGGGGTGATAGCCAGGCGATTGCACAAGCCCTGATGCAAAAAGCCCAGAAAGTCCAGTTTCGAAGGAGTTTAAAGACCTCTGAACCCTAAACCTTAGGAGTTGGGAAGGGCTTACGAAGGATTTCAAAAGATGCAGGTGCCAGGCTCTTACCTCTTCTGCAGGACGTGTGCTTCAATTCCAACCCGGATGGTTGCGATGGTGGTCAGATTGACACACCGTGGCAATACATCAAGGAGCGCTTTTGGTTGCAGGCATCAGTCCAGACAGTCCAGCTGGTGATGAGCAGTGAATTCCACCAGGACACCGGTGCTGTGAGCGGCGGCCAGTACAAAGGCCCAAACTTTCCAGTGCCGTGTGTCTTCGTGATTTGAAACGAACCACCTGGCATACTTTACCACAACGTCAGAGAATCAAAGTCAGCGCATTCGGGGCACTTTTCAGGGTCCCGTCACGGCATGTCTGTTGGCTTGTAGCTACTGCCCATAACCTCCCTAAGACCGTCCTAAAGCCTTAAAGTCGTAACCCGATGCCACCCCTCCTTTCTTCGTTGGTGTGGTTTGCCATATCCTCCAAACCCTACGCCCGAAACTCCACAGCCCCTAAACCCCAAACCCGAAACCCAAGCCTTAAACCCTAAACCCTAAACCCTAAACCAGGAACAGGTCCTTTCGGGTCTGGCCTTTGCAGCGACTTCTCGCTGCCACATTGCCACCACCATGGTCCTCAGGGAAAGGCTGGCAGTTCACGGTCTATACGGGTTGCGACAAGGGGTACTGCAAGTCAAGTTTTGGGCGGTTTAGGGTTTAGGGTTTTTGGCTTACTGGAAGGGGTACTAGAAGGGTTAATTACAAGCTGTGAGGGCTACTTCCTTACAGCGGAACCCTTCCGAGGGGTCTGGGGGGCTTGGTTCGGCTTTACTGGCACGGCATCATACAGTCTCAGGATGCCTTAGGAATGGAAAGAAAAAGTTCTATGTTTGTTTTTTGCTAGGGTGGGTTCAGCAGAGCAAATTCTGACACAACTTCTCGAAGAATTTAGGATGCTCCATCTGACAACGTGGTGGTTTAACCCCTTCTCCCCCAAATCCCTTTACACCTTCAACTTAACCCCTAGACACCTCGGATCGAATAAAACTGCTAGTTGTATCACGAGGATTGCTATTGTTAGCTCAAAGTGTTTGTATTACTAGTACTACTGTAGCATTGCGATTATTACTCGTACTGCAACTGCTAGTAATTCTTACCAGCATAGCGATGATAGTTGAAATGGTTCGAATACTAGTATCGAGACTATCACTTATTGACATTACAAAGCCCTAAAGCCCTCTCGCAGTCCTAAACCCTAAACCCAGAACCCCCTACACCCCTCTCGCAGTCGTGGCTGGGACCCTACTTTAGAGAACTGCCCACAAAGTACCCTTATAGAAACCCTATAGAAGCCCATATAGTACCCTTATAGAAACCCTATAGAAACCCATATAGTACCCTTATAGAAACCCTATAGAAGCCTTTATAGAAACCCTATAGAAACCCATATAGTACCCTTATAGAAACCATATAAACCCTATAGAAGGCCTTATAGATCCCTCCAAACGGAGCCGTTTCGCCGCGAGAGCCTGCAGGACCCGTACCCGGCCGAGGGAAAGCCTGGCTGCCCATCTGAGGACATCTCCGGGGGTTTGGGAGCCTTCCTGGGGGTTTTCGGGGCTCAGAGGGACTTGTAGGGTTTATGAGGGAGTGTAGGGTTTAGGGCTTTGCCATTTGGGTTTTCCAAACGCTCCCCTGATTATAACATGAGCGTTTGTTAGTTTTGGTTTGACGCTTTTCGACCAATCGGGGTTCGAAACGATCCCGCGATGATGGCCACCGTTTCGGCAGGGTACACTATAATGTACCCCCAAACCCATGCCCAATTATGATTATGACGGCCCCTTTGTCACGGATCCCAATGTTTGGCTATGGGTTTGTTGTTGGGTGTTCTTCAATATTGGGAGGAATTCGCAAAATTCGGGGTTTACCTTACCCAGGTATCCTTGTAAAACGGATCCTGCCGTTGACCTTGAGAGATGAGTTTGTGTTCGGGCCGGGCCCGTTATTTGCCAAGAGTTCCTGAATCTTTGGGCCCTAAACCCTAGACTCCTAGACCCTAGACCTTGTCCGAGTGTGAGTGTGCCCGAAACCCTAATCACAATAGAAGCATGCGGGGATGATGGATGCCGCATTTTACTGCAGGAGTCGCCCGCGGGACCTACGCAGTGCGACGCCACAGCCAAAGCCCCTCACAACGACTTCAAAGAGGACAGCAAGTTAGGTCTTGTTTTTTTTTTTGCCAGGGCGGGACCCTTACAGGTTGTGGATTGGAGCGGTTTGTGCTGTGTCCGATTTCTGGAACTGAACTGATTTTCCTTTGCACAGCATCTGCTTGGTTGGACAGTCTTCGGGCCCACGCCACAGACAAAGTGGATGACACCTCGAGCGGTGTCGATTCAAGTGGCGCAGTAGGTGTGAGTCGCACAAAAAAGCTGATTGAGATTTCTGGGGAGACTTCCCTAACCCCCCAGGTACCTACTATATAGGGCCCTAGGGGCTCTAGTGCCGGATATAGTAGGTACCTGGGGGGTTAGGGCTTGTACTATTGCCCTGTCCGGCGAAGCTGGGTCCAGAAGCGGCGGAGTGAGCTTGACTACAACTCGCATCACCGTTTTTCAGCACTGAACCATGGCATGGGAGTGGCCAACCCGAGCACATGAGACGGCCGCATGTATCTTTCACCGCTTGCAGAGCATGCGTGGCGGTTTGCAAGTTTCGGTTGTGTGTCTGTGTTTTTCGCTGTTTGGACAGCCCTGACACCCCAAAGCAAGCATCACGCGCAAAGCCAACACCTATAGTCTGTAGTTCAACTGTTCAACTGCCTTCCTAAACTCGAACGCGTCGGCCCGTTTTGGGGGCCATCCTGTTCAAATGGCTGAAGTTATTCAAAGCGACTGCGCCTCTTAGATGTACAAGACGTCCAGCGCACAGGATATGTGCATGCCTGTATGTTGCTTCACTACGCTGGCCCAGTCAGTTGCAGCGGAGCCCCATAGGCTCTTGAAATTAAGGGCATTCAGACTTTTTATCCTTTTTTGAAGCGTTTACCAGACCGATCCATGTGGATCCCGTTTTGGCAAGTTCAGCCCCCAGTCTGTTCACTGCTCGTACTTTGTTCCAACCTCTTGCGCAATTCGCACCTTGGTGACATGTTGGGAAGGATGAAAGCTTCACTTCATAGACGAGGGCGGGTGATGAAGAGGAGCCGGAAGGCGGAGGAGGAGGAGGAGGAGGAGGAGCGATGAAGACACGCGATAACATCTACTTTAACCTATTAAAATCTATGTTTTGAGAGGGGGGGGGGTTTACAACAAGAACCTACCAAACAAAGTAGGCCTTCATAGTTTAAGGTATAGAAACCCACGTGAAGCGCAGGACAAGTACTACTACAAGGGCAAGACGCAGACAGCATCTGGCGAGAAGGCCACCTGCACCACCAGACTGTCGAATGCGATGCTGCGAGCATATGGAAGCGTACAGCCCTTTGTCAAACAGAAAGCCAGACAACCTAATTCCGAACCCCACTCGCCTGCCTGTCTAACCTTCAATACCTCTAAACCCTGAACCCTCAGAATAAACACAAGAAGCACACAAAATAGCAGACACAACGCCGTAAGGCCATCCAGCAGATGATCATGGCCGGTGGACCAGTGGAGACCGCTTTCACTGTGCCAGACATAGAGGGCTTTCGCCAATGTCTGCCATCAAGTCTTCCTATGTTTTCATCGACAGTTTTAAGAAACGACCTAGTGCAATTCAGGTGTTCTCAGACTTCGAGCTTTACACCTCCGGGCATCTCTGCTGGAATGAGTGGGATTCACTGGGGATCGCTCCTGCAGACTCTAAACAGCTGCACATCAGGATCTACCACCACGTGAGTGGTTCGATGGCTGGCGGACATGCTGTGCGAATGGCGCCTCTGAAAGCAACAAGCAGCACGTTTGCTTTGGTTTTAGTACGAGGGTCTGTGGCTCTTGTCGGCTTCATCTCGCCAAAGCAGGTTGGCTGGGGCGTCGATGGCGGTGTGAAGTACTGGAAGGTGCTGAGCTCGAAAAGACACGGCGCATGGATGACAGTGAAGGTCATGTTCAAACCGATTCATGTAAAATCCAGCTGCCCGGACTGCCTTTTGCCTGCACGAGCGTAGGGAGCACCAACTTCGATTCGGCGAATTTCGAGCATCAGCGATCAATGTCCGGCAACTCAGAAATGGTTGTTAAGCTCCCGGTGCTGCAGGTGGCAAACTCCTGGAACCCTTACTGGGGTGAGAAGGGCTTCTTCCGCATCAGGCGGGGCGGCAGCAAGTACGCTGTGTCCTTTCGGCAATGGCTTTGTTCTCAGCCGAGGCGTGGAACGAACGAAGGTGGCATCGAGGATGATGTTGTTGGCTCTTCCAGCGATGTCTCCTGGACGGAAACTGCGGTGGAACTTCGAAAAAACAAGGGACCCTAAGGCTTGAAAGGTAGACCCTATACGAAGCAGGATCCCTATCGCAAGCACCCTACAAAATGCACCCTTTATGACATGAGTTATTTCTACAACCAGAAGGAAACCAAGTTTTGAACGAGGGTGATGCACTCCCAGGCGCAGTGGGGCCGCGGATCGGGTGCCGCGATCGTCGTTTGAGGCCCGACGAAGGCAGGCGGCAAGACTAGTCATGAAATCCGGAAATCTGCCCATGAAATACGAAGCTGTTACTTTTCTTGCCACCGGCGACTTCGTTTCCGACCAGCAGGGTTTTCAGTCGAGAAGATGAGACGTGTGGGGCCCGCCTTGAAAGCATTAAGAGCCTGTAGAAGTCGAAACCTTCCGGGCAGGCTGCCTCGTCCTTTCAGAACTACCTGAAGAGCGAGTGGGGTTGGTGATTGGCTGCCCCACCGAGAACTGTAGTGGTGATTCTCAGCACGCAGACCGCGAAGTCGATAGGATGATGCTGAAATCCTGAATCCGAATGCTTGCATTTGGAGGTCAGACTTAGCCGTTGAGTCGTTGTTGACCTGGAGTGGTCGTGAGACGAATCACTGCGATGACCTATCTTTGTGCAGCTGGCATGTTGGCGTTTCAAGGAGTGCCTTCAGTTGCTAGGGCACAGATCGACAGCTTGCAGAAGACCCTGGAAAACCAATGCGCCACCACGCGAAGTTCAGCTGCCATGCCGCACCTGCCACGGCTGTACAGCCCTATGCGAGCAGCCAAGGCTCCGCGAGCACGGCTTTGCCATCCAATGCGCCTCTCGAGCTAAATTGTCTCGGTGCTTACCCAGGCTTATCGGAGCATCGAGAAAGTAGAACACCGTAGAAACCAAATTTTGGCACCCTATACTGTTCTGCTTCGGGGTATATACCCCGCAGGATACCAATAAGAGGATCTTTCCATGCCCTCTGCATGAATCAGGTCGACGAGCAGCAGCTCAACCTCTGCACAAAGCCGGAGACCAAATCGGGGGTTTGGGGCTTTAGGGGTTAGGCTTGGGGTTGAACATGTTTTGGAGCCGCGAAAGCACGTGGATCAGCTTTGCGTGCTTGGAGATCATGGCACCGCACGCAAAAAAACAGAATGAAGTAGGCTGTAGCCATCCTGTTCGGAGCAACGGTATTTGAACCCTCGATTCAACTCGCGAAGCTTGCTTGTGAAGCACTCTGAAGCAATGCTTCCAATCAGAAAGACACGGAGAGGAAGCCGAAGGTCGATGTATTACGGTCGAATGCATCTGCAGGTTGCAGAGCTACACGCAGACTCGTCGCTTATGTGCCCTCCCCAGCTGCCGCGAGAAATCGGAAGTTTGCTGGCGAGGGACCCGCATCGGTCTTCATTGAAAGACTATATGCTTCTTTTCTACATTCAACAGCCGAACCCCAACTCCTGAAGCAGACCTTTTACATCATGACCAAGGCCAATGTGCAGTCGGCCGTGCATGTCCAGCATTCTGTTTCGACAGCAGCGTCCTCGACTCAGAGCGGCGTTTCCTGAAATGGGGAGTTCTTTGCTTGGGTGTTCTTAATCAAAGATCCCATATTACTTTGTGGGCCCTGTGGGCTCTCTTCCACTCTCTCTCTCTCCCTCTCTCTCTCTTGAAGCTCCCAGAAGATGCTCTCCACTCTGCCGATTCTCGCCTCCCTGCCGAGGCCACGCTCCGCAGGTCGCCGGGCAGTGGGGGACTTATTGCGACTGCCGGCGGGAGGGTTTTGGGCTTTGGGACCTTGGGAGTTTTGGGGTATCTAGCGGCTTTAGGGGTTCAGTATTTATTGTTTAGGGTTTGGCAGTTTTGAGGCCTATGAAGTTTGTATATTTGGGGTTTGAAGTTTATATGCTTCGGGAACCTGTTTGTATGGTTATAGGATACGGAGGTATCAACTAAAACCCGGAGTCTCAGAAGGCCCTAAACCCTAAACCCTAAACCCTACACCCGTATATATATATATATATATACTCTCCAGGACCTGCAAGCAAAGAAGCTCTCAAGCGCCCAGGCTGGCAACCTCCAGTCGTCGCCCAGGCTGGGGATTTGCTTGCTTTGGGCTCTTCGTTGTCACACTTGGGCTTACGTTGACGTACTTTGTGGTGGAGAGTCATTTCCGTTGGAGTGAGTGGACAAAGGCTCTGACACAGGTCATGGCTTGTATCGGGAAGGGCCTGCCTGCAGGAGCCCAGGCTCACCAATTCGGACTTTGCCATCAGCAGCACCTTCCCCAGCTCCGAAACTGCAGGTGGGCCGGAAATTGGAAATGCTTGACGTGCTATTAAACCTGGGCCGAAGCATGTTGCTGCCCCTCTTTTGTTGAAATTAGCACAGACTATACTGGCAGTGATGCCCTCTGAAATTGCGTACACCTTGATGGTGGACCTCAACTGCTACATTGCCCATGTACTTGTGCTTCGAGCTCTACTGAGAACGTGCTGTGAGATGGTAGTGTGAGCAGTTGCAAAGTGAGCCGTCATTGTTGCAGTGCCGGTGTGAGCTTTTTCCATTACCTCGAACTTGATTGAGCTGCTTTTCTCTAATTGGGCTTGTAGTAAAGTGACGCCTGAAACTTGGCCTCTCAAGTTACATCAACGCCTGCTGCATCCTAAAGCTCCTGAACAACCCTGCAATCCGCGCTCGTCCTTGCTAAGTGGGAGGGAAAAAGAACCCCAGTATTGAACGCTTTACCAGCAGACGGAAAAAGGCCAAAAGGCCCTCAAAAAGTTAAAAAATAAGAGCCCCAGTATTGCTTGTAATTTTAGGGCCTTGGAGCTCTTAGGTTGCGGGCTCTCCACGTGCACGGAGCTCAGGCAGTGTAGCTGACAGAATCAGAGCAAAGCTCATGGCCAAGCGACCCCGAATGATTCTGAGGAGGTGCACGTTGCGTCTTTGCCTGAGCTTCGATACTGAATTATCTTCGTTCTGGCAAAAGCTTGTGTGCCCATGGCCATCTTAACTTTCATGGCCATGTGGTCATTCTGTGAGCATCCCTGCAGGCGATCGGTCAGTCCGCGTACCAAAGCCAGTCGAACAGAGAGCCCGAAGATGTCCAGGACTGTACCGGTGCCCTCAGTGATCCAAATCTGGCGACCGCCGGCTGGCACATTTGATTGATGCCTCTGCATTTCGGCTCCAGGGCTAGATGGCGGTTCCTAAAGTTCGGCACGGGTGTCGAAAGACAGATCAGTGGAACTCGTGCGGCAGCTGTCGTACTGCATAGAGAATCAAGCTACTGGCGAAGGACTCCAGCTGCGATGACGGCACCCAAGGCAGCAGCACATGCAGCACCCACAAGCTTTCCTTCTTAGCAGGCATTGACGTTTTGCTTCTTGCGAGGCAGCGGTGCCAAAAGTGGCAAGGCAGGAACAGCCGCAGACACCTAGGATAGACAGCTTGTGTTGCCGCTGAGCTTATGTTGGGATGCTCAGGACACCAACCTGAGCTTGAGTCATTGGGCGTAACAGATATTTGGCTTGGTGCCTCCCTTTTTGCGCAGGCAAGAGAGTCCCCGCTTGAAGTCGGGGAGCCTTCCATCCAGTGCGGTGCTGCTGGCGAAGTTCAGTCGGGGTGCGATTTGCAGGATGTCTCAAAGCATTCGGCCGAGTTAGCGAGGTGGGCAGCAAGACACCCAAGCTCTTTTTGTGCATTGTCTACACATGTCACAACACGTCTAGAGGCGGTAACTCTGAAGACGCGGTTCCAATGCTTCATTAGCGCTCACACGACGGTCTGGCATTTCGTTGTGTTAAGGTGTTTCGGGTTCCCAAAGACTTGGATTCATGCGCGGCGCGGCAGGTGTGTCCTGCGCGGCCAAAGAAAGGGGCAGCAAGGCCGGCGCTTGGAAGTTCAAGATTTAGCAAGTCCGAGCGTGTGGACATCGAAGTCACTGACTCGCTGGTCTGTCAACAGCCAGGAGCAGAAACATGCCCGACAGTACCGACTTCACACATTATGTCGCTTTCCCCTGATCGCAGGCCTGAAAGCCCAGACCGCACCAAGGCCTGCTGTGAAAGGGGCGATGGGATGGGAGATGAGAGCCCCTTCTATTATTGGCACCCGAGGTATGACGTTCCTGAGCTTCCCTCAGACTTGCTTCAATACTTTCAGTGAAGTCGGGTCAAATGGGGCGGCTTCTCAGGTGCCATACCACAGAAGACAGAGTTTCAATTCTTACGCAACGAAGCACCTGCTTTCGGGCATGAGGGTGGTTGCTTCTTAGTGGTTCGTCCTGGGCTTGCAGACGGGATCGGCTAACTAGACCTAAATACCTTGAACCCTTTGTCCTTGCTTGGTAGCAGGCAACATGAATTTTAAACCCTAAACCCCATGATCGCCACCAGCCGCATGCAGTGGCGATCATGTGGTGCCCAGACTTGTGTGAATCCTTTATCTGCCTCGCGCGAGTTGCGAGAGTCGAAACCCCTAAACCCAAGAGCCGAGAAGTGTACCAAGTCGAATCCCAAAACCCGACCTATGAATCCGTGCCTGCCCTGTGGGAGTGTGTGAGTCAAACCCAAAACCCAATCTTTTCTTGTGGCTTCCGACAGAATTTGCTTATGGTACATGTGTCTTGGAAGCTGTGACGAAGGCCGGCAGCTGTGGACACAAGCCAAAACAAGACGACCCATGACCGGCTTCAGAAAGTCATGCTTGTTGTTCAAGAACCTTTGTGTTGCAGGCTGGGTGTCCAGGTCTCAAGCAGCCTTTCCAACGAAATTGCTTCAAAGGTGCTCCATGCTTGTCTCTGAGTGTCTACAAGCTTCCCATTCAGATGCATGTGAAGCGTAAAGAGCGTGCAGGACCCCGACACGCGCACTGAAGCTGGACTGTCGCAGAAAGGATTTGCAGCTCCAAAACATTGACACCTAAAGACAGCTGGGCTTGAAAGTACAGCACATGCCATGTAGAGTCTCGAGTGCCGCCTTCTGCTGACGTGCTGCGGGATGCTGCCAGCTGCAGCTGCCTGGTTGTTCCTGGCACTATGCGTGCTTGTCATGGAGTTACGAGCTCCCGGCAGCGAAGTAAAATTTCTCAAGTTGCTTGTTGTTTTTTTTTTTCCGAAGTTGACGGCTTCAGATAGCACCATTTCATGCGAAAACCCGTTAGAGGAAGGCCACTGGAAAAGCGCGGCTGGGTCACACTGGCAAGCTTGGCTTCTGCAACTTGAAGAACCGTTGGTTGAGTTCAGTAACATACGTGTAATCTTTTGCCCGTTCCTCACGCGGCTCCAGTTACAGGAGGGTCACAGGATGTCACAGGGGTCCAGTTCAAGACCTAGCAAGCTAGCTGGGCGTTGGGAGATTACAAGCCATGCAAAGTCAGGGGCAGCGTGCACAACCATCAAGCAGCGATTCTTCGTAAAGCTGTTCTCGCCGAAAGCACTGACCTCGCACGATTCGCGCGATTTGTTTCTTGAGGTATTCTTCGGATTCGACAACTTCTTTGTGGCCTATGCTGGAAACGTGTTCAAACCAGTCGAGTACATGGCTGCAATGCTTCTGATGGTGGGCGTAATCAGCGCTCTGGGAAGCCTTTTGCTTGCTACCTTCTGCGAGAGCTTTAGGCGGGAACCCGAGCAAAGCAGTGCCACTCTGTTGGTGTAGCGTGGGTAAACGACTGTGTCAGGAAAGAAACCGCGAGCTGTTCGCAGCATGCTTCGCCTTTGAAGCTCTTCTGGTTTCTGTCCAGCGGGGCCTTCATCGCATTGGCCCAAACGTGCGGGTGCTTAAGCTTCTCGTTGGATGAGGTAAACTCGGGGCCACACCAAGCCGTTGTGGTTGCCAATGTGCCTCTCGTCGGCCTCTTCTTCTATGTGTATAGTGGAGAGACACCGGGCGCCAACTCCGGAGTTTTTCTCATGTCAAATATGGTCCTCTAACAGAGGTATCTTTTCGGATGTTTTCGGGGCCCGACAACTGCAATTCAGGACATTGTCCAGACAGCAGCTGTTTGGATGTTTCCTGATCATGTTCGGGGTCCTGTACATGTCCGGCTTCTTTTCACTGTCGCGGTCGCGGCCAGGAGGCGAAGAGCCAGTTCAATCTCGAGCCACAGACTGTTTGAACTGGCATCAAAGTCCTTAACAAGAGCCCAGTTCAGGAGGGTTTCTATAGGGTTGCCACCATTCTTCTGACATGACGCCTGTTGCCACCAAGGATCGTTCCTTTGGATTTGCACGTCCTGCATGTTCTATGCTGCATCCATCATCACCATCCGCTTAGCTGGCGAAGCCGATCTGCCATCCCGCCCAAAATCAGCAGCAATCGTGTTCTCGTCTGGCATCTTGGGTCCCGGCCACAGTTGAAAAGAGACATTGCGTTACTGTGATGGGTCCTTACACGTCATGTGCTTCAAATGCGCTTCGCGAGTCGGCAAAATTCACCCATAATTGCCAAAGTCCGTAAGAGGAGCGTTGAATCTAATCTCTGCTCGCCGGCGACTTCAGCGAGTATATGCGAACATGCCAATACTCAGAAAGCCGGAAACCCAACTGCAGAATCGGATGAATCAAGAACCGAAGGCCTAGCAACCACGCTAGACGGGTAACAGCTCAGAGCTCGAAGATACAGGCTTGCCCTTTCTCGAGCTCTTCCATAATACTTGCATTGAAAGTTATCATGCTGTTTTCGGCAGCGGTGGCCTTTGCCGAAGTACTGTATGGCTCCCATGTTTTCCTGAAGGTTTCATGCTTCTCCGGCTGCTTCTCTCCGATGGCAGCTACACCTCTGTACTCAGTCCTGACAATCTCGTTTGGCCTACGCTCAACGCAGTGGCGTCGATGACGGGGCTTTTCACTGTTGTGGCGTCCTACGAGGTCCCAGACTCGAAGGCTGCACTGGCGACTGCAATTATCGACAGCAACTCTGTGCCTATGTGCGTCCTGCTCCTTGGCAAAAGGTACAGCTGGAGCATGAAATTAGTGAGAGCTTGCGCGAAAAAAGACAGATAATGGGTCAAGACAGAAGCAACAGCTATATAGTTACATATAGTTGCTTGAAATAGATGGGTCAAGCTCATAACCTGAATCCGGACCTGGCCTTGCAAGGAACTTTGTCTTGCTCGGGGAGGTGCCGAAGATGTCAAAGACTGTGGGTTCCGGGACTGCATGTGGACTTCTGATTTAGGAATGTTTAGGGTTTAGGGGCTGTTGGCCGGCACCTCAGTCGGTGCTGCAACAGGGGGCACGTCCTTCTCTTCTGAGAAGAAGGACGCAGTTTGATGTGGAATCGACCCTCGTCGCTCTAGCCAGCAGTTGTGCGAGTGTCCGAGCTTCTGCACACCCTGTTTTCCGGAGTTGACATCAGATCTGCTAGCTCCTAGGTGACCTAGCGGCCCAAGCAGGTTAGAATATAGTTGCGCTATGCAAGATGTGAAGCAAGCATGCCACACCCTCGGCCGACCCTCACCCGTCCAATACCGGCCCTAAACCCTGAGTCCAAGGTATGGCCATGGTTTTACTCGGTTGTTCTGTGGCATCTTTGAGATCAGAGGATGGAAGCTACAAGGTCTTGCCAGCTTACCCGGTGGAGAATGCAACGTGACAACAAAGAGACTTGCACGAAGCACTCCCCGCAGAAGTGTGGGTGGCAAGGATTGCCAGATGCTCCAAGAACATGCGCTGAGCCAGCCTGTACTGCAACATACTGCAACCCGATTTTAAAGGTGTGGACAGTCGCAGGACTTTGCTGATGAACGACCTTCCTTTGCGGGCAGTTTGCAAGAAGTCCATTGCGAAAACTGTCCTAACATGCAGCAGTGATACGGCCATGGGGCATAATGTCAATCATTGGGATTCAGACTCACATGCTGCTAAGTCTACTGGTTCTCACAGAAGTCAACAAACCACGCGAGTCACATGGGCAGCTCGCTGTCACAAGGTTGCTATCTCGAATTGTCTTCCCTGAGACACGACATGCTGTTGCAGCACGCATTGCAGCAGGTTGGCTCGAAGCTTTTGAGTTTGCAATGCATCATGAATGATTTGATTGGAATGGCGCAGGATGCGATGCAGTCTCGTTCGAAAATCAGCATTGGACTCGAGTTCTGTCAAGCTGACCAATTTGACCCCCAAGAAGTACACATACTGGATTTCGACCCTTGCCAAAAAGTCTCAGTGGCAAGAGGCTATTGCGCTGGCCAGCCACCTCCGTGTGGCCTCGATGACTCAGGTTTTGGACCTAAGAAGTTTCGGGGCAGAGATGCTTGCTTGCAGCAAGGGATCCCTGTGGACAGCCTCGTTAGTTCTCGTGGAGCAACTGCGAGCTGCCAGACTCCAGATGAATGCGGTGACTTGGAGCGCGGTCTTGACATCAATGGCATCAGCACGTCGCTGGCAGTCAGCATTTTCCCTCCTCCAGGAGGTCGAGGAGCATTCACCACATGATGCGACAATCGTACTTTACAACAACACTATCACTGCCATGGGCCCACGGTGGCTGCAAGCCTTTGAGGTTTTGTGCAGAGCACGCGGGCGGCGCTTGCAGCCGACAGTTGTTACGCTGAACTCCTTGCTTGCTGCCTGCTCGCTCGGTGCTGAATGGTCGAGGTGTCTTCGGTTGCTTAGTACCACGGGCTTTGGCAGCATCGACTTGATGTCGTTGAACACGTCGATAGCCGCATGCCGAAATGCAGGACGCTGGGACATAGCTTGGCTGCTCTTCATCAGGCAGGCTGGCTTGCAAAGGAAATCAACAAGGAAAGTAACCGCCGAGTCTATTATTGATGTTGTGACTTGTAACACGACTGCGGCTGCATGTGCCGATGGCCAACAGTGGCAAATGGTTTTGGTACTACACAGGCACATGGCCAACCGCTTCATCAAGCCCAATACGACAACTTTCAACACGATGATGGCATCCTGTGCCAAGGCGCGCCGGTGGCATTACGCATTGGATTTCTACAGGCAGCTGCAAGAGAGCAGTTGCCAGAGCGACATCATCACTTTCGCCTCACTCCTTGCGGCGGCGGAAGCATCCAGCCGCTGGCAGCAAGCTCTGAGGACTTATTTCTACCATCTCCAGTCGACAGTTCTCAAGCCCAATGTGGTTGCAAACAACTCCTTGCTTGCTGCCTGTGCTGCTGGCCAACAGTGGGAAGTGGCCATGCAACTAGCTTGCGGCGAAGACCATCTACGCCCACAAGACTTCCTGACACATTGCATCCTCGCTCTGATGCTTCGGCGTGGCAGCCATTGGAAGTTGATGCTCGCGCTTCTGGCCCAAGAGAAAGTCTGTCAAGAATCTGCAACTTTTCTTCAAACCCTGGCCTCTTCCGCATGTGAGCAGACCTGCCATAGCTGGACTCCTCTCCGACGGACTAGGTCTCATGCTGTCCCAACAACTTCACTTCTCAGACTGAGCCTTCCGTACCAGATCGCTTCGACGAAGATCCTCGCAAACACTGGCACTTCTACGCCCGGGAACCTTCGTGACATGTTCGTTTCCGTTGTACAGCAAAGCACTTGGGCCGGCAAGGTTTGGGACGCATGTCCTGTTGATTTGCTTGAGTGTGCCAGCTTGCCTTCTGCAGAGATGCGTGAGGCACTGTGTGCTACAGATTTAGCTTTGGGGACGAAGCAAAAGTCGGGAAGTGCGCCACTCCGTGCAGACCAACTCGTAGCCCTAAGCATGGCCCCCCTCCCAAGGCCGACACGCACAAATTGAGCAGTGCATCAGAATACCCGAACAGTACGCTAAACCCCTGAAGCCCTAAACCCAATTAGGACCTATTTACCCTAAGACTTAGTAGGCCTAGTAGGCCTCATCCAACTTGTGTAGTTTCACGTCTCAAACCTCGAACCGCATGCCTCGCCTGGAGTGTCCGAGTGTGAGTGCCGAAAACTAAATCCTAAACCCTAACTCTTGTGTGGAGCCTTGCCTGCTGCGTGCGAGTGTGAGAGTCGAAACCCTAACTCCCTCAGTTCGGACGAATTTCCTTTGGAAGCTCTAGACCCTAAACTTCGTGTCACGCCGACCCAGACCTATGGACCTCGCCAGTTGTGAGAGTGTAAACCCGAGTACCCTAAACCCTGAACCCAAAACCCAAAACCCAGTGAGCATAGACCTCAACCATGGGAGAGGGAAAAAACCCAAAACCCTGAACCCCAGTATTGCTTGTAATTTTAGAGCCTTGGAGCTCTAATGGCTCCCCCCGTCTCCCGTTTTTTGGAAGGCTCGCCGGCCTCCCGGTGCCACCAAAGAGGCCGAACTTTTAGTGGTATTGTTATTACTAGTAGTATCGTAATTAGTAGTGCAAGTAGTGTTATTGCTATAGTATCATGAGGATATACTAGCAAGATTATTGGTATTATTCTTGGTTGGGTTTTCGCAACCTCGGTCGGGGATCCGACTGTGGAGGGTGGTTTTCGGTGTAGAGGTTCAGAAACGTAGAGGGATAATTTGCTTATGGGAATGTTTCGTATCAGATTGCATCCGGAATAGTTCGGCGTCCTGAAGTTTGGCCCATGTCTCGATCAGTCTTTTCTGGTTTCTTGTTAAGGGATTTAATTTAAGTTACCATAATAGCGACCTATAGTAAATAATATGGTTTTCTTATTATGGTAACTTGAATTAAATCCCTTAACAAGAACCCAGTTTTTCAGGATACGCGCTCCATGGCTTCTCCAGACACATGCACCAGGCCAGGCGTTGCTCACGCATCGCCTTAAATATGGGTAGTTGTCAAAATTATGGTCCGTTTTGGGGTACCCTAAATAATAGGTGCCGTATTATAATAAGGACCCAAAAAGGGACCATAATTTTGACAACCACCCATATAGATGTTCAATGATGTTCATAGGTTGGTAGGGCCCTCACACATCAATTAGCAGAGGGTGCTTTGGGGTTGACATTTCTGGCGCTTTGCGGTTCTAGTCGACAAGCACTGGCAGGACATCGCGGAAGTCGATCGATACCTGTGGGGAGGCCGCGAGTACCGCGGGTCTGCATTTTGAGGTAGAGACCTGAGATGCCTCAGCTTAAGCACGGCTACAAACAAACTACAAGTTGCACACAGCAAGCCCTTGATGAGGAAGCCGATACTAGAACAACTCTGAGCTCCATGCAATTGTATTACCTTCGCCCAGTCTTAGATCGCTGGTGTCGCAGACTGTGGGCGTGCGGCGTTTGTGCATCGAGCATGCGCGAGACAAGTTGAACGTCGGCTGTTGGGGTGCTGCGTCTCATGCTAAAGAAGTGCGGAAGATGCGGCAGTGCAGACATAAAAGCACGAACCGCAAACGAAGCGAGCAGCGGACTAGTCCGCAGTTCTTTCCAAGCTAACCTCGCTTGTGAGCATAGATCTCAGCCATGCAAGATGGACAAAACGAGCGGGAGCATCAACACAACACGCAACGCGACCAGCCGGATGCAGTGTCGGATGGATGCCGTCCGGGGAACTCACAGCGCAGGGACGATGTAGAATTCTTGGATCCTTGGCAGGAGAAGGCTACTCCAGGAGGCACGAACTCTGCATCGGTATCAGTGGTTCAACTTGAGAATCAGGCACATCGGAAGAACGTGGAGGCAAAAGACCTTGAAGCTTGCAGAAATCTGACGAACGAGGGTAAACCCACGCTTTGCCTTCTCCCGGGCTTACATCAAAGCTAAAGGGAAAGACTGCACTGTCATTTGCAGATCTTGGCTTCCTTGTGAACCAGGCCTACTTAGGCCGGGCATGGAAGGTCGCGAAGCGCCGTTGGTTCAGCAAAGTGCAACGGTCCCGGCAGGTTCACAGCTTAGCCTGTCTTTGAGCAGCTCGGTGGCACGATTTGGGAGCGGGTTTCTCCAACACCACTGCCGAGAAGTAGTCTCTGCTGCATCCTGCGGCAAGGCAGCAACTCCCTGTTGGATCCCGGCGATGGCAAGCTGCCGCCGATGCCTTGACATGCCATGGAATACCCCATTAACGTGCCGATTTCGTTGCATCGTCTCTGGCTTGATTGTTCGTTTGCGGTGCCGAGAGGTTGTCAGCAACAGGCTTCAGTGAATCGTGGCAAGTTGCATGTTGGGCAAGCTTTCGAGCACTCACGAGAAAGTGGCTTGGAACACAAGGTTGCGGCCACTGGGTGGAGGCAGAGCTGGTTGGGTACTGGTCACCGGATGATTGGCCGCTCCATTCCCGACATGCAATCCTTCCTTCCTGTGATTAGATTTGCTCGCGCTCAAAGCTTGTGTTCTGCTCCCTTTAAACCCTAAATCTTAAACCCTGAACCCACCTACTATATAGGGCCCTAGGGGCTCTAGTACCCTATATAGTAGGTACCAGACCCTTCGCAGCTTGCCAGGCTACAGCTTGACGGCCCCAAGCGGGCCAAGCAGGCACACTGACTCAACTTATCAGTTCAGCCCCCCTTGCAGCAGTCGGCGACATGTTTTGAGGGGAGTTGCTGGGCTGGCGCGAACGGAATATGAGTCCAATGTAACGTCGAGTGACACATGCCCCATGGATCCACCATCCTCAACAAGTCGCCAAGATTTTCGGGTCTGAGGACAGCACCCTGCAATGCTGCCCGGGTCGGACTGCCAGCTCTGGGGCCAGGAAATAGGGCCTTCCCATCGGAAAATTAGCTCCAGCGGTTTGCGGGCAGGGCTGCGGATCTATGTGGTAGCTGAACAAATTCTCGGAAGTCTTCACACAGGTGAATGCTTTCATGGCTCTCCAAGAAGGCTGGAGCAACCAAATGCTGCTTCCCCGGCATGGGCCCTTCTCCTTTTTGGTGCCAGGTAGAGCCAAGTCCATGCTGGCAGGAAGCTCGGTAGGGATACATTTCTGTACGAGCCTGATAAAGCGCCCTCTGGCTCTTGCTAGGGTTCTTAGTTTAGTCATATGTGGATTCCAGCAGACCCCGAGCGGGCCTTGGTATCAGGTTCTCAAACCTTGTACTTTAGTCTCCCCGATCAGTCTTCAGCAATGGGAGCAAGGTGCCAGCCGCCAAGCCAATGGCGCCTCAAGGTTCGAGAAGTGCTGAGTCAGCTGCGTACACATCGAGATTCCAGAATCAGGGGCTCCCCTCCAAAAAGGGTCCTTGTAAGAAGGATCCATGAGGATCCTAGCATACAGAATTGAGAACTCTGTATTTCAGGGTCCCGTTTCCGACAAGGGTCTTGACGGCTTGTACCTGCCAGGGGCGCCTGCTCGACAACACCCTTCGCATGTCCGTGCCTGAGGCTTTTGCAGTTGTGCTGCAGCACTGAGATGACAAGAGGACGGATGTTTCGACAGCTTGGCATCGACAGTTTTGGCACTCGGGAGACTGTATAGTAGTATAGAAGCACTATCTACACCAGCATGGTCATCGGCATCGGTGTTTGCAGCACGCTCTCGCACATGAGTGGGTGCGTGACGCGTGGATATGATCGCGTGTTTGTGTTCGCACATACGTGTGTGTGTGTGTGTGTGTTGGTTTGTGATGACTGGCGCTGCTTGTCCAATCCGTTTCAATGAGAACCCTTCGTGCTGTGGGGGTTTTCGAATCCAAGCTCTGAGTGCTGGTGCATCTATTACTATAAATTACTATAAATTACTATACGACTATTGGTGTTATTGTTATGGTTGGTTTGCTATTCTTAGGAAACTGGCAGGTTCCACTCCACAGTCCAGTGGCTTCTGGGCTTCCGCAATACGCAGGCTCCGTGCGCACAGCAAAACCCCTTGCCTGGCCCACAGGGTTTCGGCTGTAACGGCGGATTGGCAGAGTCTGGGTTCAAAAGGGGCTGCAATAGCGACGGCTGTTCCGGGCGAAAGAAGCCCGCCGTAAAAGGTAATTCACTGCATTTTGCAGCACCGTTCCCACGCTGGCTGCGATCGTTAGGACATTCGGCAACGATAGGGTTTCAGGGTTGCCCGTTGCTTGGGAAACAACACCTCCAGGCTTCCTATGGATGATTTCCGTACCTAGTTGGCTACTCGTACCTTGAAGAAGGCCATGAAGCCACATAAGAGTAGGGTAGCATATTGAGGCTCTCCAAAGAAGAGTCGCGGTATCTCTTGCCTCAAACCAAGGAAGGTTTGTGTTTGGGCTTAGGGTGATTCGAGCCATTCATGTGGAGCCTTGAGCAGGATCCAGGTCATGGCAGCCATGCACTGCGGCAGGAGGCAAGGTCTAGCTGCTAGCTTGGTTTCGGGGGTTAGGGTTTCAGAGCCGGGTCGAGGGTGTGGTGAGTATAGGCTTTTGGGCTGGGTCGAAGGTAAGGCTCCGGGCCTTGCTTGTTCAGAGACAGGCACGTGGCATGTGGCTGGTTGGTGTGTGTTGAACAGACTCCGCTGTGGACTGCTGCTGGTGGCTACTTGTCAGGATATCCAGTTCAACCTGGCCTGCACCGGATCGTTTGAATCTTCGGATTCCGTTCCATGTTTCATGAACGTTTCAATCTGGCCATAGGCTAGACAGTCAATGCACAATTATGCAAAGCGACCCGGACATCGTGGTTCAGACGGGCGCGAGATTCAACAAAAGGCTTCTGGTTTGCCAGCTGTTTTGGGACATTGTGCGTCTATCAGGAGTTTACGGTTTCTGTGAAGCAAAGAGAGCAGAAAATTGTTCATTGCCGCTACATACTTGTTCTCGCAAATGCTTACTGCAAAGGGACACTCCAATCCTTGAGAGCTTTGCTGGAGTCTCTTCTAAGTTGGCTAGAGTGCTAGTATGTTCATGTTTGGACTTCTGGCTAAATTCATGCCACCCACGTATCATCAATAAAGTTTAGGTTTCTGCATTTGGTTGCACCAGAGTTCAAGGGTTGTTGCTGCGATTCCAGCATGCACCCGTCCGTATGCCGCTTCAGTTTTACATTGCAGCTGTTTTTTATTGTTCTGCAATGCGTAGCCCGCTGCAGAGCATGCAGAAAGAAAAACATGATGTCATGCATGCAGATGTTGCAAATAGCCATTTCCAATCGGCAGCGGGTTCGTCCAAGTGGCTAGTTCCTGGCTAGGAATCCGTGCTTTGTCGCGAACTCTACAGTGTTGTGCCATTCAATATCGTTCTGTAATTTTGACTGTTTTGGTGTACTTGTTGGTTTCTTGCAGACCCAAAGAGCTTATTCTGAATATCTCCCTTGGCCTCTCTCCTTCACTACGGTTCAAGTCTGGGAGGACTCGCTTGGAGGGACTTCGTTTGGAGGGACGTCATGACCAAGTCATGACTGGTCCTAAAGACCTGCATTGCATACGCCAGTAACTTCAAGAAGTTATGATCACCGCCTCAATCTAACAAAACTCGAGTCCGGAAGCGTCAAAAAGTAGACCCCGCAAACTCAATAGCAGTCCGGTCCCTGCTTGGTCAAAATCCCTGACTTGTGCATCCATCGCACTGCAATGTGTTCTCTCTAAATGTCCGGTTACATCCGCGCCTACATGGCGCACAGAGCTACGGGCATGCAGTGGTCCTTCAACTCTGGCTGATGCTTGAGCTCGCAAGCGCTGCATCCTCCATGCTTTCTGGAAGATGTTGGTTCAGGGATCGCCCATGTCACTCTCGGGGTTTCAGTGCTCTCCCAGGTCTGGTAGGAATCCTGCGTGAAGCAAGGTCGGTGTCGGCCTCCCGTTCTACAGACAAACTTCGGAAATTTGCCCAGCATGGCCCTCGGCTGACGGCAAGGCTAACGCGACAGTCAAACCTGAAAACTTTCTGTATCCATCGAAGCTGCTGATGCAATCCGAGGCCCCGGAATTGAAAGTGTCCTACTTTGCAGCCCAGCTCAGCTTAGCTTTACTGTGTGTTGCCCTGAGAGACTTTGCAACCAGACAAGCGCACGGGTGTGTTTTGGAGGTGGGCCCATGCATTCCGTCTTTGTGGTTTACAAACCTGCTCCTGCTTGGGTGCACGGTCAGCCTCTTTGCAGCGACCTTCACATTCAGGCATGCACTTCTGGCAGCAGAATCCTTAGTTGTTCCAGACGTTCAAGCGCTTTCGCCCACTGTGCCTGGAGGTCCTGTGCTGACGGCAGCATAAACCCAGTGCCGCCATACTGGATTTGGGCCATGTGCTTGCCAGCCATACTTCATCAGCTGCTCACAGATCCTTGTTTGCATGAAAGCACCCTTGCAGGCTTTTCCGTACGTTTGCGGAGGCGAGGTATTCGCTTCTGTGTCTATAGAAGCACGAAGTTGTGACGGACTCGTCCGAAACGAAGTTTTATAGGCCCATGCTTCTCAATTCTAAATCGCGCTTAAGATGATATGCTTTCTAGCAGGAGCGGAAGGCATTGCATGCTATAAGAAGCACATGGAGATGCACTCCCTGGAGCCCTTTGAGTTGTTCGGGATGTCTGCGGGGAATTCTTGTGGACCGTAGCCCAGCAACTGACCCTTATCCTGGGTTCTCTGGAGGGGCTTGGAGGCCGGAAGCTGTCGATCGTGGTAGGCCGAACTTCGATCGCAGGTTGTCGAGAGCTTGCATGGCCGAACCCCGAGGCACAGCTTTGTGCTCCGAGGGCAAGACGCAAAGAGTCTGGGGGGCATGGTGGGGGCAGCATATTCAGTCCACTTCCAGTGATTCCCCTGGACATTCTGATCTCTTTGTCCTGGCAGCACGTCATTGCTTGCGTGCCTCGCCTTGTTTCAGAAGCCTCTTTCATTATGTCCAGGATCCGTGGCTAGGCGCTTCAGTTGGTGTGTACAGGCCCCACAACCCCGAACTATACCCTCCAAATTAACAAAACCCGGGCAATACATTGTAGAAATAGTCACGAGGGCCAAAACTAACCTGAGGTGGCTATGCTGCGAAAGGGTTCCGATGAGGAACGCGATGATGGCAAGTCGGCGCCGGTGCTGCCCTGCAACGATGAGGAAAGGAACATTCGGTGGGTAAGGATCCTGAGTGGTACTTGGCCGTCATGAGCCCTTGAAATTCAAGACACCATATGACACCATCATCAAGCGTGGCATCGTTGGATCTGGATATGTTATGCAAGCATATGCAAGCTGTAGCAGCACAGTTCCTTTGTCAAGAGCTGGAACACAGGATTCCGTACGGCCCGGCTGTCACACGCAGACACAGAACCCTAATTAAACCCTAAACCCTGTTGCTAAACTTGCATGTGCAGTTGTTTCACTTTGACGTTGACTCATCATTCGCCTCGCCTGGATTGTCCGAGTGTGAGAGCCGAAACCCTAAAACGCAGGAAGCAAGTCGGCGCCCCCCGAGCCCTAAACTCCCCGAGATCCCCCAGGGCCTGGCCTTGGGTCGACAACCCGAAAATCCATCGAAAACTTGTCCTTTCCCGGCAAAAGACCTCTTAGTCGTGACTCGGCCGGCGGTCTTCGGTGTTTTCCTCTTTCATTTGGGTGGTTGTCAAAATTATGGTCCCGTTTTGGGTCCTTATTATAATACGGCACCTAATATTTAGGGTACCCCAAAAGGGACCATAATTTTGACAACCACCCATTTAAGATGAAGCTGGTTGCAAAGGGGCAAACTCCCAATCTTTCTCAAACTCATCAACCCCGACTCCTCTGCTTCATTCTGCTTCTCGAATGGGTTCGGATGCTAGTGGATCCCGAAAACCCCTCAAATGGCTACAGCAGCCGTTTTTTGCTTCAGTATACCACCATTAAATCATTAAGTCATTTGGCATGTACAGGCAAGCGGTTCAGGGGTCTATAGGACCTTGGGCGTATTCCAATCCTCCTGTCATCTGTGCAAAACCCTCCAATACTAAATGTGACCATGGCAAATATGAACACAACAGCCCTTAAGTCCCAAACTCCAGTGCCGGTGCATGTGTGCCCTGCAACCCTGATCGAAAATTCTGCCTCAGACCCTCTCAAGGGGATAGTAGCGAGAAACACACATGCCCTTCCTTGCATGATGTGGATGGTCGCAGCTCCGATATCTGCTGGCACGCGCCACCTGACAAGACTCTGGTACTTCCCATACCAGACCGTCGTCGGTGGCTTGAAGATATATGCTGTTGTCACGTTTCTGCAGGATGTAAACAAGGAGCTCTTCTGGACGTCCCCTGGTCTGTGCATCATTATCGGGTTTCTGGCATGTCTGCTGTCGCTGGACAGGCCATCTGACCTGGCCCTGGCATTCAACGCGTCAGCAACAGTTTGCTGAAAATGCAGGCATATGGCGTCCTGATCGTGCACATGATTCCAGTGCTCTTGCTGGCATCCCCACAAGCCGTGGCGCAGACGTTGGCGTTCAACTCGCTCGGGTTCTTTATGATATTGCACCCGCTTCTGGATGGTGCCGACATGCTTGAACAAGTCTTTGGAACGTTCACGATCCTGGGCTTGGCACGAAGTTGCATGGGCAATGTGCATCCAACTCGTGCGATATGCGCCGGAGTCCTCAGCAACATGACTGAGGGCATCGTCGTTCGAATTTTCCTACGTGCCTTCGATGCTGGCTTGCGAGTCCCGCCGCAGCAGGGCCGATTGAGCGGGGTTGGTGATGAGAAGTTCCTGACGGGTGCCTCCTCGTATGCCATGCAGCAGGTGCTTGACCTCACCCGATGTCGGGAGGGAGGAACTGCTCTGCGCCATGCGCTGCAGATGCTCCGACACAGGCTCGACCGCAGAGAGCAGGCAGTTGCGCAGTTCCTGTTTCTCCATTACTGTGCTGTCCAGCACAAAATGGGCAGTGCCCCCCTGGCCCGTATTCTAGATTTCGCCGCCGAGTCGCATGAAGGCTCAGCCGAGCCGTTGCTGAGAGACTTTGCGGTGTCGGAGGTCGCATCTCACACTGAAATAGGAGAGCGGTCGAGTTCAATGTCCACCTTGGAGCGAATTTCGAGTGTGACTCGCCGCTTCATCGACTCTCTTTGACAGCGCAGCTAAAGGTCCTTGAAGCTTTCCTATTCTGCGGGCCTGGAATCCAAGCCTGCAAGCCGCCTGTGTGCGAGTGCTGTGGAGCCTGTAGAGGCGCCACTGCACTGATGTCCTGTCTACGTCTGACAAGCTTCACAAACTCAAAACCCCTCTTGCTCTGAGCCGCAGGGCCACCCAGTCCTAAACCCCAGACTTGCCCTTCTTGCCTGGCGAAAGAAAGAGAATCCACATGGTACAGGAGGGCAAAGTTAAATAGCTTCAAAGAGCAGTCGTCTGTCTCACCTTTCCGTCAATTTGCTCGTGGTTCCCACACGCTAACCCGTCCCGATGCAAGGAGGATCAAGCCAAGGCCAAATCCAGCCTGGAGTAGGTTTACTGCTTCAAGCGAAGTTCGCTTGACATGGCTTCGAACGCTCGTAGCTGGCTGGCTGGCGCGATGCTCCCTCCAAGCATATCGATGCAGGTCGGGGAGTTGTTTTTGCAGTCTCCTTCGGTGTTCCCAAGGGCAGCAGCAGTGACGGTGTATGTGCAGGTTCTCGTTGGGAAAGGACAACAAAGTCGCAACAAGCCGGATGAAGACCACACACAGGCCAGGCCAGAGGCATCCCTTACCCATGCTAAGGCACATGCAAGCATCATTCAAAGGCATAGACTGGCCCCACTCATCTAGTTTGTCTTCGTGCTGCTGGCCAGGGTGCGAACCACCAGTATCCTGATGGCGGAGTGCCTGACATTGGAGTGCCAACGATCGCCCCTCGCTTGCCTTGCAGGTCGAAGCTCAGGGCAGGGCGTCAACGTGGTGTGCCGGAGGGGTACAAGTCGTATAGCTGTTTAGCATCATGCCTGCAGGCTCACGGTGGTTCACGACGCAGGGGATGACGGAAAAAGTTTTTGCAATAGTTGCGGCAGAGCCGCCTTCTGCAACACTACTTCAGGCACCGACAGCAAAGCTTCTCTCCATCACCAAAGAGCAGGTGGGGTAAGACCCTGTGACTCAAGGCCTTGCAAAGCCTGGACCCCGGATACTCGGCGCCAGGCATACGACTTGGGAGTCTGCTGGCACTGGCTGCAGCGGGAGCAAGAGAAGGTCCCTGAACACTGGACCACTTGTGTTTTTTGTGAGTTTGTCATCTGTTGCCATGCGTTCTATGGCTTATCGGACAAGAGGTTGAATCAAGATCCTAGTTTTCTGCATTTTTTTCCAGACATCCTTGGCCCCATAAGCAGCCGACGCCCGAACCCTCGTGAGCCTCCAAACTCGCAAGGCTCAGGTCTCCAGAAGCCGTAGATCCCTGCGCCCTGCTTCGCTTACTCAACAGCCGTTACCCCAAGCTCTTGGGATCCGACGCCGGAGATGTCCAGACAGGCCATCGGTGCTGACACCTCCGTGATGCAGGCGGGAAGCTCGAAACCCTACAGAGGGATTGTTGGTATTTCCAGCCCACCTCCCTCCACATCAACAGACCAAATCCATGTGTGAGCGCCGACAGGCGCAGCCCGTAAACCTTAGCTGCATCTAGCCGCGCCTCTGCCCCAACCCTCTCTTTCCAGTCGAGCAGCCGGCAGGTGGGAGGCTGCAATCGAAAGACATGCCGCTTCAGAATCCCGGCAGCCAAACCTGAAAGTCGGACTGGATTTGTGGGTGCAGGGGTCCTGCGTAGACTGTCCCTACTACTGTCAAGGCCCATATTCGGGTTCTCAACCATTGAGGCCACCATCTTCCCTCGGAGATTGGGCAAAAGGAGCCGAGGGGTTTACCTCTTGAGCGCCGGGAGCAGCGTGACGCGAGCCCCATCTGCTCAGGAGAGCCGCTCGGCTGCACAGTTTGGGTCTTTGGGGAATGGTTTAGGAAGTTTAGGGTTTGGCTAGACCGGGCTCCTGGACAACGAGGCCTGTTGTAGAAAAGGGCTCTAGGATCTTTTAGGCTTAGGGTTCAAGCATGGGCTTCGGGCTAGGAATGACTTGTAATATAAATACATGTATATATATATATATATATATCATAGAGTCTAGGGTTCAGGGTTCTGTGTATGAGGTTTGGGTCAATGCTGTCAGGGTCTTGACGATGAACGGTTCAGGGGCTGCGTGGCACCGATCTCCGGGGCTGTTGGCCTGGCTCGCCTTTGGAATTAAATTCCTGTTTGGAGAGAACTTCAGGGGCTATGGGAAGGTTCATATTCTTGGTCTACCGGCGCCATTATTGGCGGGTCTTCAGCACCAGCAACAGCAGCAACAACGAGAACAAGTAGCCCCGACACCTTACGTAAGTTATTATAGACCCTATAAGCCCTAAGCCAGCCTGCAGGTCCGACGAAGAAGAGGTACGAGACCCCCCGAGCCTGAAGGTGCAGCGTCTCGGCCAGGATTTGTGCTTGGCCACGTGCCCCTTTGCCGCGCAATGCCCTGCAACAGCATGAAACCATCCATGTCGGACTCACTTCCTCTTGTACCTATAGTTGCGCGCTGCCCAGAGCAGCTGTGGTAGCTTCTTGCGTCCCTATTGATATTATTTTGCCATTATTGGCAGTTGCTTCCTTTAACCTTACTGTAGACGAGTCGAAGTCGTTGTTACTGGTACAGATTTCCGAATTGAGGGAGGGACACATCGGACCATACCCCGGGTGCATGTTCCTGGTGCACTGACGGTTGCTTCTCACGTAACTAGTAAACCACTTACTAGGCCTCCAGTGACTTCAGTATGGACTTGCATGAAATGCAGGTATCAGTGAGAGGACTTGGTCGACTTGGGTCCATACCTTTGACCGATGGAGTGTTTCACCATCGGGAGGTGCAGCTCGCAGGGTGCTCGATACGTCAGCTTCCTTACAGGAAGCTGGGAACTCATCGCATGGGTGCCCAATGGGCGCTCGCAGACTGAGTCTCCACTGCCAAGTTATGAGTCCCTGGTTTGTTGCAGAGGTGTGCCGGGCAAGCCGTGATCTCACAACAATTGTTGAAGACACAGACACAGAAATCCTCAGGAACTCAATCCTTTGCACATGATGCAAGGTGCCCACAAGTAGCAGACGTTTTCTTTTCTCGACATTGTCGCGAACTGTTGTCCAAGCTTCCACTGGCTCTTCTGAGATGCAGGGTGGAAGTCGAAATCGTTCCAGGCCTTCCTCCTTTGCTGTTGTTCATCTTGCATGGGTGGTTTTTAAATCATGTCGCTTCTTCCCGTACCGTTTTACGGTAAGTGCTTGTTGAGTTCTGCGCTTTGGAAGGAGGCCTTGAGCTGCAGCATATCGGCTTCATGGTAGATTGTATGCCCCCAGCCCTGGTTCGCAAGTCCCAGGGTCTGGGCTTAGGGCTTGGTGCAAAAAGGTCATGCAGATCTGTTCCAGTGTAGCTCTGAGGGTTCAGGGTCTCGGGTTT